CGCGAACCCTCCCCCCCTTTCAAATTATCCTGGATCCACCCCTGCAGCACATTCTAAAATGTGAAAAAGTTACAACATAGCGGACAAGGTTATTCATGTTTGTAGCTAGTAGAAGTGAGTGGGTACTCTTTAGAGTTTAGTTACCGTCAGTATCGCCTTCTTGATCGAGATTGAAAAAATAAGGGGGGGGGGGGATGAATGATGAGCAATATTTTTCTCCTCATGTTGGCATCCTCCACAAAATCTTGGATGTGTCATTGAGAAGGTGATACTTAACATGATTAAGTCAGACATGCGTTTTAAACTTCATTTGAACTGTTGGACATTTTTTCTTTGAATAAACATGAAAGTTCTGTTATATTACTATAGTGTTGAGGTATATGTTGTATTGTATATGTATTGTTCCCAGTGTCTAGATGGCAGTGAAGACATAGAGTTGGAAGAGATTGGCGATGGAAATATCAATGATGTTTTTCGAGTTACAAGTGTTAAGGAGCGCTCACAATCCCTTGTTGTCAAACATGGACCAGCATATATCAAGGTAAGTAAATCTATTCTAGATTTTAGATTTAGATTTATTGATATAAAATTTAAGATGATAAATTATAATTAATAAAAAGAATTTTAGAAATTTTGTTAAATACTTTTGAGGTATTAAGGTTTGAAGTTGGGCATGTTTTGATGTTTTTATTGCTAACCAATTCAGTAAGTATGTACGTTAGTCATCCAGTCATATTCTATATAAAATAAACTTAAAATATATTGCTGGCCTTAGGGAGATGCAGTGTCATCAGCTTGTTGTCATCTGCCAATTTATTTTTATAATTTATTTTATTTATTTATTTATTTTTGCCACAGTGCTTAGGTCCAGAGTTCCCATTATCCATAGTCAGGTTGAAGGTGGAGTATAATGCATTAGCCGCCTTTCAAAGAATTTGTCCTGGATACTCCCCCTGCCCATATTATTTTGATGTGGAGACCAATGCAGGTACAGTTGAAATTGGCCAGGAATTGTTTTAAAGGCATGTTGGCTGTAAAGCACTTGTAGTAAGGTAAAGTGTCATTGGTCGTTATAAATTGTTACATCCCTCAAAACATGGTGGATTTATACTCACAAAGTAGATGACATTATTGAGGTTATAAATAGGGAATTCATTACGGTTCCAGTTGGCAAAAAAGACATACATGGACTTGCTGAATTGCAGTAATGAGCAAAAATTGTTTTAACCTAAGAAACCAAGATGATTTTGCATGTACAACTTGAATATATGAATGTGAACAAATATTATTGTCAGATCTATAATAATCTGAAACATATATATAAACAAAGATGTAATATCTATTTCAGTTTTAATGGAAGATCTGAGAGATCATTCCATAATGAGAAAAGAACTGATAAGTGGATATATAAATATGGAGACTGTGAAGAAGATAGCCTACTTTCTTGGTTGTGTGCACAGGGACACCCATGTCAGCAAACTAAGTGAAGCAGAATTTGAGAAACTTCAGCAAGATTTTCAGTAAGAACTCTTTCCCTTAATCTCCAACCATTTTTGGAGGGAGAAGATTGATAATTTTAATATATATATATATATTCTTTTTTTTGGGGGGGGGGGGGGAGATGTTATTCCTCAAGTGCTGAAATAAAGCTAATATTGCTTTCTTTTTAATAACATAATTGCAAATAAGGATTGGATGCAATGATAACTTAATGTCAGATATTGAACTAATTCCTCAATTTCCCCATATATATATATATATATATATATATATATATATATATATATATATATATATATATATATATATATATATCATTTAGCAAATATACATGTTTTCTTTATTTGACAGACATCTATAGATGCATGGTGTCTGAATTGTGCGATATAATAATGAATAACATCACCAGACAGACACTTAGCTTTGCAGATATTAAGGCATAATTATTCCTTTTTAGAAATGAAGACATGGTTTCTTTAACAAGACAGTACATTTTCACTCGCCCATTTGATAAAACTGATCCTACCAACAGATGCTCAGAAGCAGTGCAAAAGAAATTGCACCTCGTATATGAAGACCCTGGACTATTAGACAGTGTGTGGAAAATGAGGAATTTGTTTCTAGAAAAGAAGGAATGCTTAGTCCACGGAGATTTACATACTGGCTCTGTACTAGTCAGTAATAATTCAGCCAAGGTACAAACCACTGCACGTGAATGTGTGTGTGTGTGTGTAAGTGTGTGCCATAAATTCCAGTGCCATAAAAATGTAAAAAGTTCAATATATTCTTTAATAGAAACCATGCATGGCTGGTGACACTCCCTTCCAAACAGTAAAAATATGTGAATGAAAGATGTGCACTATCTATCTCCACAATTGCTACATATGTATATTTGATATATTAACAAAGAGAATGTGCCCTTTGGCTACTAACTACTGGCTACTTGTAAAATAAAAATCCAATTTATGAATAAGAAATTTTCCCCTGAATTTTAGAATTTTCTTGGAGTTATTACTGAAATTTTACACCGAATCTCTATGAATTTGAACAGAACTATGTAAAATTATAATGATTATATATATATATATATATAACACAATTAGTCTTGTTGATATTTTTATTTCCTTAGGTGTTTGATAATGAGTTTGCCTATGTTGGACCTGCAGCTTTTGACTTGGGACTCCTGATAGCCAATTACATCTTTTCCTATTATCGTCACATGTCAACACAGGAAAATCATGACACACATCGAAAGTTCAGTCAGAAATTGATTGAAGCTTGTTATCTGACAGGTGATGTACACAGAAATACCTAGAAAAGGAATTAGAATTTATGACATGATGCACATTTGTATTTAAATTAAGTAACAAATTGATTTACATGTATGCTATCGATTTTTATCTTCAAAATATCAACCAACTTAATATAAATTCTTTGTTTTACTTTTGTTTTTTTTTCTAGTAGTTATTGAAATAATTGCCTTACATGTATGATATCGATTTTTATCTTCAAAATATCAACCAGCTTAATATAAATTCTTTGTTTTACTTTTGTTTTTGTTTTCTAGTAGTTATTAAAATAATTGCCAAGTTTCATTGATGCTAAGTATCATTGAGAAATTCATTAACTATCAAGTATTCAACAGTTGAGTTCAGTATTGCTTATTGTTTATAACTTATTGACTTAGTACCATTTCATTAATATCTTACACGTGCACTAATATGATAACATAATCTGATTTTTCATCTTTGTAGTTAACACTTACCTGTCAGTCATGACCTGCACAGTAGGGCAGCGCCATGAGTACTTGAACAACCTGCTCACAGAAACGGCTGGATTTGCTGGCTGTGAAATCATTCGCAGGTATATACCTCTTTGGTTGTATTTCTAGCATTAAACTGTAAGGATTTTTTTAACGGGAGGTTGTGAATTCTTCTTGATTAGACCATTCTGCAATGATTTACTAGACCATTATAGAATTGACAATTGCGGATTGATTTTATTGATACAGTATTGAAATAGTTGAAACCTAACATCATTTGGCAAAACAATTAGCAAATATGGCTCATTTTTGTGTGTATCTGCAAATCAGTTGAGAGAGAAAAAAAGAGAGTAAATTCATTTTTATCTGTTTGAACTATTTCATTTCCAGAATAATTGGGACAGCTCATGTTGAGGATTTAGAAGGCATACCTTATGCTGAAGAAGATGCACTGGAGGCTGGTGTACGTCTTCTTCTTGGACATGATAGGATCCATACCATTGATAGACTAATGGTCATAGCACTTATGCTAACATAAGAGACACCAGGGTCAGATAAATCAACTGGAGGTCCAAAGCAGAGAAGACTGTAATTGAACAAATTGAAAAAAAAAATATTGGTCTGGGTTCTGTTTCACTGGCATTAGGGATTCGGCCTGTTCTAGTTTCACAAACTGAGGTGGTAGCACATTTTTCCAAGATTAAAATTACTCACTAGTATATCATGCTGATATATATTTCTTAACTAGAGGTACTCTTTATGGAATTTACCTGGCAAAATGAATTTTCCTTGGGGAAGAAATAAATTTTCTCATACTCGTGAATCATTGCTCAACCCATTCCTTCACTTGGATTCGATTTTTTACTCCACTTTTATTTAAATAATTTAGTTTTGAATTTAGAATTTAGAACACCATGTCTTCCTGTATTTTTCAGAATGAAATATCATCATCAAATACTTTTATTTGAGGAGATCTATGTTTTCTGAATTGGTAATTATAAGTAGTTTTGCAGGATATGTAGAGAAATAATGACAAAAATTAGGGAAATTTTCAAATCTTTAATAAATAATTTAACCCATTTTCATCCTCTCATGGACATTGACTACAAGGATTCTGTGGTGAAGGGCTTCTGCAAGTTTGCCAATGAGTTTGTCTCAGATTTATTTTGTTTAAAACAATATTTACATGTTATTTAGGAAATTTTAACATTTTTAACTATTATTTGTTGACATGTTTATTGATAGAAGTGAGAAGCCAATTATCTTTAATATTTTACTTATTTTTGTTACCTTTATTCGGTATTTCATTGGTATCTTTTGTGAAATATCAACAATAACTTGCTTAAATGTATGTGTGATATATATATATATATATATATATATATATATATATATATCTAAAAGATTAATTACAAGGGAATAAATGGTCTTGAAGATGGGCGTTAGCTCTTTTACTGGTTACTAAAATTACAGCTTATATTTCATATTGTGTCATGATGATGTTGATGTGGCATGAACGTATTTTGTTACAAACTAAGTGGATAAATCGGGATGTGTGTGTGTAACATTTTACCCAAGAAAATGTGATGATTGTTTCAAATAATAGTGGATGAAAAACAAAAACAATCCAAACCAAATTTTTGTTATAACACATCTTTTCCTTGAAAAATTATGACCAAGAAATCCAGAAAGTTATTTCTAAAGTTGACTTCTAAGTTTTGCAAACATATTTAATATTAAGCATAGCATATGATGTGGAATACCAAAGAACATTATTGTAGAGAACATAAAGATCAGCTTTACTTGCAGCTTTACTTGCAGCTTTACTTGGCTAATTGCGCTTGTTATNGGCCCAAGAGACATAGACAGCGGCAAGTGCCCGCAACCGTGGACTTACCTTACAACTTGTAGAGCATCCCATCTAGAGTGACACCTTCGCCCGAGGTCCTTTTGAGGTAATACATTGTTTGATGTTTTTGTGAAATATATAGAAAAATATTCTCGTTGCAGCATGTATTCTTGAGCACCTTGGAGATATTCTTTCATGATTTCCAGGTGTTTTGACTGAAAATAAAAAAGTTAGATTGTTAAATGGAATGTTATCATCAACATCAATTATGTGATGTGGCGATTCGGGTTCCGCTTGCTTGGTTAGTTGAGGGCCATATATTATATTTATGACTTAACCACAGGGTTATTCTCAATTAATTTTATTTTCTTGTTATATGTGTGCATGTGGATCACTCATTACTTTTGTGTGAAAGGTTTGAAGTTAAAAACTGTACCAGTTATCAGTGAAGCCTTGTCTGGGCCACTATACGTGTAAACGTTTTTTGGGGTGATGACAAATGGCTTGACCTTACATGTCTTTATTAATGGCATAAGAATTTGACGTAGCTTTTTTTGTATTTTTGTTGTTTCTCTTTTGGCCACAGTAAGCCCAATGCTGATATGCATTCAACACAAAAAGGAAATATAAAGGCTTTGGACTTCCTTTTTGTTTTATCTCCTTTACCTTGGCTTTATCTTTCATGTTGTTTACAAAGTAAAGAAGGATGTAATATAGTGTAAGATAAGCAAAGTATGCTTATATAAGCTCAGGCCAGCTTTATACAGGTAAGTGCTGTGCACTTAACCCCAGCTAGGTTCATGTTACATACAACTAACCTGAATTTTTATTGGTAATAAATTAATTATAAAACAAAGCACCAAAATCTTGGATCGCTTTTGCCTAAGCTTAGAGTACCACTGGTCCAGTAAAAAAGAATATTAAGACATTACAGTAGCCCACAAGAGTTCACATTATTGAATGAATTGATCATGAGAGTTGGGGAATGTTTTTTTACTTAGTTTTAATGATGTAAAGTTTTAACTGAAATGAATGGAAGATTTTTGATTATTTTCACCAATTTAGCATTAGTTTTGTATTGGATTCAGTGGGCTATATAGTAGTTGAAAAAAGTGATGGCCACTACACTTGGCACATACTCTTTGCAGAGGATAGGATGGTTTTGCATGCCTGGGCTTAGTTCTGCAAAATAATTTATGTTGAAAATCAGTCTTAACCCAATTGAAAAATAAGTATTGTCCACTGCCATTTAGGATAATTTCTTAGTTGTCCATTACATGTACATATGCATTTTGTATAAAACTTTGGCCCATTTATTTCTGTAATACACAAGTTCATCAGACACTATTCTTATTTAAGTGGACTACGGACTACTAATGTACCATCCATGATTATATTAAAAAAAAAAACTTTTGATAATTAAGTTGAAGCTACCTTTTATCATAGGGTCATTTCAGAAAACTTGTATCTGCACATCTTGGTTGTATTTCTGTGATGAAGCTGAAAGTAGAACTAGTACTGCATAATTAAGATTGATTCTGACATGATATAATTCTTCAAAATGCATTATGTTATCTGAAAAAGGTAAAGGGGCCTTTAGCTGTTTCAGATAATAAGCAGATAATTATGTTAATTAAGGTAGGTGTCAAATTTTTCCTCCTTGCCATTGTTTTGTACTATGCCTTATCAAGTAATTGTGTTTAATAATTCAACTCTAGATAAGACCCAGATTATTAGCCATTCATACTTTCATGTAAACAGCAATTATCTTTTAATCTATGGTTATTTTGGAACATAATTTTGAATTGATTATACTTTTGAATCATTTAAAACAATAAAAATTATTTGAGTGTGCACTTTAATTAATTTGCTGGCATGGAAAAAGTAAATTATACCATGTGGCCAATTGCACAATTTTGAAGGACCATTCTAAGCCCCCCCCCCACACCCCGCCCCCCCANGCTATTCTCAATTAATTTTTTTCTTGTTATATGTGTGCATGTGGATCACTCATTACTTTTGTGTGAAAGGTTTGAAGTTAAAAACTGTACCAGTTATTAGTGAAGCCTTGTCTGGGCCACTATACGTGTAAACGTTTTTTGGGGTGATGACAAATGGCTTGACCTTACATGTCTTTGTTAATGGCATAAGAATTTGACGTAGCTTTTTTTGTATTTTTGTTGTTTCTCTTTTGGCCACAGTAAGCCCAATGCTGATATGCATTCAACACAAAAAGGAAATATAAAGGCTTTGGACTTCCTTTTTGTTTTATCTCCTTTACCTTGGCTTTATCTTTCATGTTGTTGACAAAGTAAAGAAGGATGTAATATAGTGTAAGATAAGCAAAGTATGCTTATATAAGCTCAGGCCAGCTTTATACAGGTAAGCGCTGTGCACTTAACCCCAGCTAGGTTCATGTTACATACAACTAACCTGAATTTTTATTGGTAATAAATTAATTATAAAACAATGCACCAAAATCTTGGATCGCTTTTGCCTAAGCTTAGAGTACCACTGGTCCAGTAAAAAAGAATATTAAGACATTACAGTAGCCCACAAGAGTTCACATTATTGAATGAATTGATCATGAGAGTTGGGGAATGTTTTTTTACTTAGTTTTAATGATGTAAAGTTTTAACTGAAATGAATGGAAGATTTTTTATTATTTTCACCAATTTAGCATTAGTTTTGTATTGAATTCAGTGGGCTATATAGTAGTTGAAAAAGGTGATGGCCACTACACTTGGCACATACTCTTTGCAGAGGTTTTGCATGCCTGGGCCTAGTTTTGCAAAATAATTTATGTTGAAAATCAGTCTTAACTCAATTGAAAAATAAGTATTGTCAACTTCCATTTAGGATAATTTCTTAGTTGTCCATTACATGTACATATGCATTTTGTATAAAACTTTGGCCCATTTATTTCTGTAGTACACAAGTTCATAAGACACTATTCTTATTTAAGTGGACTACTGACTACTAATGTACCATCAATGATAATATTAAAAAAAACTTTTAATAATTAAGTTGAGGCTACCTTTTATCATAGGGTCATTTCAGAAACTTGTCTCTGCACATCTTGGTTGTATTTCTGTGATGAAGCTGAAAGTAGAACTAGTACTGCATAATTAAGATTGATTTTGACATGATATGATTCTTCAAAATGCATTATATTATCTGAAAAAGGTAAAGGGGCACTTAGCTGTTTTAGATAATAAGCAGATAATTATGTTAATTAAGGTAGGTGTCAAATTTTTCCTCCTTGCCATTGTTTTGTACTATGCCTTATCAAGTAATTGTGTTTAATAATTCAACTCTAGATAAGACCCAGATTATTAGCCATTCATACTTTCATGTGATCCTTGATGTCTATAACAGGAATTATCTTTTAATCTATTGTTATTTTGGATCATAATTTTGAATTGATTATACTTTTGAATCATTTAAAACAATAAAAATTATTTGAGTGTGAACTTTAATTAATTTGCTGGCATGGAAAAAGTAAATTATACCATGTGGCCAATTGCAAAATTTTGAAGGACCATTCTAAGCCCCCCCCCCCTCCAATAACATCTTTTCCTACTGTAATTTACTACCTGTCAGTCCTGCCCCTTCCAACAAAAAAAAGCTATATTGGGGTTACTTAACCAAAGAAACAAATTAAATTATAAGTGTTATTAGTTTGATAGGAATCAGTTGACTCACATGCCTCCTTTTTAAAGATGGAAAACAAAGAGATTTAATTTAATTTGTTCATATTGTCATTATATTATGTTAAAGTTTAAATACTTTCCAACTCCCTTCCAGGAGAGGATGAGTACATGTACTCCAATACTGTAACACTCTGCTAAAAAAAGTTAAATAAATGCATGATAGATGTGTTCCTCCCAGCACTTAGTGTGAAGATACAACAAAGATTAAACATCCTCCCTTGACATTGACAGCTCTTAAATCTCCTAGTAAATCTATCACCTGAGAGGACCTGTGGTGACAGTTGGTGTCCATTGTCATTTCAGTATGACCACAGTGCTATAGCATTGTGCTAGATATGTATCATCTCTGATGTTGGGGATATAATTCAAATATATAAGTGTTGATATGATATATTTTTGTTAGCGGTCAATTGACCAGATTAGTCGAAAATAAAGCAGAGGTCAGATGGGTTATGTGAATGAAGATAAGTGAATTGAGTAGTGAATAGATAAATAAGGAAAAAGAAAGAAACAAGCAGTCACGCAGATAGAGTAGAAAAAGTGTTAGTTGGAAGTACATATTGGTGCACTAAGAAAAAATTCTTGACATTAAAATTTTGCATTAAAATCATGTTAGATATGTGACTGGCCAAACGCAAGAAATTGCAATCACATTCTTGGTTCTTTTGGAAGTATTCTCAAAACTGTTTGAAAGCAAATCAGTGTACATGAATGTCACCAAAGAGAGGTTTTTATTGAGTTTATGAACAGAAAGTACAGGCCTTTAAAGATTTTGGTTTATTTTGAAAATATTCACTAATAAT